TAAGTGATAAATTGGACAGAAATTTCTTTAGTGCATTTTTTTTTTTTGGTTAATTCTTAACATCTCTAGTGTGCAACTAAAAATATTCAGACTCCAAGATATTTAGATAATCTCTCCTGATGCCTACTCTCCTCGTATTTGTGCCTCTTTTGCTAGTTTTATTGCACAGGTTTCAATGAGAAGTAGAACCCTCTGCTGGTTTGGATAGTACTTTCTTCTTGTTCCAGCAGCTTTGAAAATCACCTTCCTCCTTAACAGAACAGTTAGTTCACTTAAAGACCACGTATCTCCTTGGCCTTCCCCTGCTTCCTTCCCTGATTAGTACACACTACTTGGTGACCTCTTCTTGTGAAAGATGATAAGGTTGCATTGAGCAGAGTGAGAGGATCACCCCGCTCATTCTCCACCTCGTGGAAGCAGCACTTCTTGCTGACCCACCACTTGAAGATCAGCAGCTCTGGTACAGAAGCAGCTACTCTCCATTTTGCAACAGGATAATTAATTCTGCTTCATAGGATATTTGACTCAGTACTTATACCTGTAAATTTTAATTAAATGGGATGTATTTCCAACTTTTTCTCCGACTGTCACATTCATTTTGAATTCTGATGTTTTACTACTTAAATGAGTTTCCTAGCCATGCGACCCAGCTCGCATCGAGTCTCAGAACTCTACCATCGGAGTTATTCATTAATAACTACCTAAGTAATAATTAATAATTAATAACTTAGGTAGTCATTAATTAATAACCTAGGTTAATCAATTATGTAGCACTGGGCCTGGGACCCATCGCTGCCTAGCAGTTCAAAATGCCCCTTTCCTAACAGGTATAGCATATTAGTGCCTCGTCAGCTGCACTCTGACCCAGCAGTAAAAGAGTTTAAATCATATTTTTCTTCATGTTTTGCTAACTTTGGGAACCCTCAACACCACAGATTGTTGAATTCTAGAGTTACATAGAGAAGACACAGAAGCCATAAATATGGACTACTTTCTAAATTCAGTGCAGCAGTAGATTTTGGTCTGTAAGAAAGAAGCCTTCACCAGTGTAGCCTCACTGCCAGACAAATATTTTCAAGCACAGCTCAGAGCTGAAAGCAATAATGAATTCTAATAGCAAGGCAGCACACAGTGCAGTGGGGTTCTAATTGACAAAGAGGTAGAAAACGGAAACAGGAAGGTCAGTGCATCCTTTGGGGAGCTGGTATACAGCAGGGGCTCAGCAGTGCTTCAGGCTCCAAACCAAATGAAAAGTGTGCCCAGCAGCATTACTGCCACATCGGAGCTAAAAGGGGATGTCCCTGGCTGGGCTGTCAGGGGCCTGTGAAACCCCTGCCACTGTCAGCAAAATTATATATGAATGTATATTTTTCAGCAAGCAAGATTCTCAGCTTTCATCCAGTTTTCAAAGGGATCCATGAATCATTGAGGGCTAAGAAGCTCTGCTAGATAGACAATAATCCAAACTTCCAAAACCAATAAAAGAGGTTGTTGAGAATTGATACCACGAAAAGATTCAAAGGAAACAAAATTAACATTTATTGAATGTTAATTGTGTGCCAGAGAATCTTGGAGAGATTTAGGGTAGACAAAAGAGATTTTCAAAGCCAGGTTTTGCTCTGAAGCCACATACATCCTACTATAGCATATTGCCCCTCTAAAGAATGAAAATGACTAGCCATTGAAGATTAATCAAAAATAGAGAAGCATGCTAAAACAATGAGGAAATATGATTTGATATTCAAAAATATAATTTATAATTTTTTTAAGATTAAGAGCTTATCTTTTGAATAAAGTTGGAAAATTTAGACCAGACTGGGGTCCCAAGTATGTGGGATGGCCCAGGGTGCAGCTTCTAGAAGGAGTGGTTTTTCTTGAGCCAAAAGCCTTTTAAGAAACTGAAGATGTAAATGAAAACAGTCATGAGGCCCCACTTCCCTGTTGGGTCTCCCATGGAATGAGATCATGTGTTTATGAGCCGAAAGATTTGATTGAACTAATTTAATTTGTCTTTCACATCTCTACACGAATTCATGACAGTCATTTAACTTGTACATATTATTAAATTAGGTAAATTCTGCTCTATTGTACTCTTATCTCTGGCTTAAGTATTAATTATTTTCTCCTGTTTGGACTTAAGTATTATTTTCTTACAAGCCTTCTTAGCAGAGTTTCAGAAATACTACCACATTACTGAACGTTTACCTAGTCCCCAATGCTGCTTTCTTTATAGCTGTAAATCCAGAAATCCATATAGATCATTGCTTTATGGAAAAGATTATTTGAGACTATTCAGTGAACATTTAACGAAAATGCTCACAGATTTCTGGAGTTTTCTATATTCCTTTTTTTGCCAGTCTATGTTACCTAAAACAATGTGATCATCTGTTTGGAATACTGTTTGGGGAGGCTGAGCAGGATTAATTCCTGTCCTGGTGTTGCAGTGTAAACAGCTTTTTGCCTGTCTTTTGTCATTAATGATCATGCTGTAGATGTAGCCAGTGCATTGTAAGCCAATCTGTCAAGGCAAATAAACAATTCACCTTGTTAAAATTCCCTAAATCTTGCATTAATAAAACCAAAGTAACCCCCTGAACACTCAAGAGATGTCTTCTTCCATACTGCAGTGATGGATGACATGTCTAAAGATCCTGGAAATTAAGTAGTTCAGGTCATTAAAAGTGTCCCACACTTGTTATTGATTTAATTTATTTTAAAAGGTGGGGGTGGAGATAAGAATGTAACCCCCCCCCCCATTTTTTTAATCTTAAAGCTACCACTTGTACACATAATTGAAACTATTGCTTGGGTGAACAGCTCTGCATTTGTCACAACATTAAGCTTTATTATTCAAATAGGTGTTATATTATCTTCTTAACCAGATATCTACAAACAACATATAATCATTGCAACTTGTGTTATGGTGAAATTCCTTGGAGCTTCATATGTATGATGATTTCTAGAACTTTTGAGTTCTGAGCACTGAAGTCATGACCTTCTGAGCACCCTGAAACTTTCCTCAGGTAGATAAAAATTTAGATAAGGGTCAGATGATTTGAAGGAAATTAGCTGAAATAGTAACAAAAGTATGCCTCTGGATAGAGGAGGCTTTTTTCTCTATTTTATGAATTTTTTATTTTTTTACTTTTATATTCAAGAAAAGAGTAAACATTTTAGATAGATGGAAGAGTGGATGGGCAGTTGAATGGATGGATGGATGGGGATGGACGGATGGGCGGGCAGATGGGTAGGTGGATGGGAAGATGGATGGAAAGGAAAACATTTCGAGAGCGGTAGAGTTTTTCTCTTTCATATCTATATTCTAAGGCGAGTTTAAGTTATGTGTTTGTTTACTGGTTTATTGCTAGTTTTCTCTGCCAGCCCACACTCTACTGGGCCCATAATATTCGCTGTTATATTCCAGTGCCTAACATAATAGATGCTCAGTAAATATTTGTTTAATGAATAAAGTATAACCCCAAATACTTTTTTTTCTCTTTTTTATTCCTTAAGCTTTAGTGGGTACAGTGGGCTGTATGAGGAATAGTAAGTAACAGCCTGGACAGGGCTGGATGTCCAGATGACCCCTCTCCAGGGACTGAACAGCAGGAGGATTAAGCACTAGTGTAGTCCAGAGGTCAGCCCGCTGGAACTGATGACCTGTGTAGTCGCTCACTCTATTTATATGTTCCAAACTGGGTAACAGTATTCCAAAACCCTGTGAGAAATGGGGCATCTCAGTATGTAAATTATGCCTAAAAACAATACGTTATATGGAATTGTGTATATACAAGATACACCTAATTTGACCTCATTGTCATTTGTTATGTACCTTATACATCACTTTGCAGAGCTGTTCCTGATCAACTCTGTGAATGATATTGCATCATTATGCTCATTGTTCTTTAAACAACATGTGCTTAGGGCGGGGGCGGGGGGAGTGGCGAGGTGAGAGCAACCATGGTAAATTACAAAAAAAAAATGACCCTTGAAAATAGTTATATTAATTTCAGGGATTAATTTTATTATTTGATGCATTTTCCATGGTCTTTAAAATAAGAGAACAGCAAATAAATTGTTCAATCAGTTCACATACTCTGTCAGACTCTTAAAATTAGACATATATGAAAGTGCACTCTATAGTTCTCCATTATATTTCTCCCTGAAATTACATAATTTGGATATCTGAGAACTGACATGGTTATGCCATTATGCTGGCTCTTTAGCAAAGCTCCCTAAATGGAACAACTCTATAGATTTTTTTCAGTGTATACACTGATTTACACTTAGTGGTAAAGTTGTTACTGACCCTTTAAGTGGAGCCGTCCAAAGAACAATAAATGTCAGTTGATTCTAATGCCAAAACAGGTGATAGCTGAGGGATCTTGACTAAATCTTCCAGTTAAAAAAGCCATGAGTGCATGTATTTCCTCAATAGCAGTGGGCTCTTGTGTACACACACACACACACACACACACACAAAGGGATCTTGACTAAATCTGCCAGTTAAAAAAGCCATGAGTACATGTATTTCCTCAATAGTAGTGGGCTCTTGTACACACACACACACACACACACACACACACACACTCAGACTACTTTATCACTCGGTAAGGAAAATTTGGTGTGTCCATGTAATAGCCGTATTATTGATGTCCCCAGATTTTTAAAATATTCACTCTGGATTAGAATCTCCAGGAAGGCAGGCACTATGTCTACTTGGTACCCCACTGTCTTGCCGCCTTGTCAGCAGCTGAATAGGAGATGCTCCGTAATGGTGAATAGGTAAAAGAATAGAGAAAGTGGAGCATTTGCTGACACTGAACAGCTTATGTGTCAGCCTGAGTTCTTGGTGGGTGAAACAGGGACCATGCCTCATATTGGTGGTGAAGAATGCTGCTGGTAAGAACTTTGATGGATGCTTATGACTTTTTGAAACAGTTCATTCGATTGATTGCCTAGCAAACTTTATTTTCTAATTCTGTTTTCTACTTTCACAGGCTGTCATTTTAGAAAATGAAGAACTTCCCAAACTGTTTCTTGACTTCCTGAACGTGCGGCGCGTGCCATCCTTACCAAAGGCTGAGAGTTGTGGGTGAGAATTGTTATTCACATTTTGGACTTGTATTTCATGTTATTCTTCAATCACTTAACTGGCCTTACAAATATCCCACAGTGGTGCCAGAAGGGGCAGCCTGGCCACACCCATTGTGTTAGCTTGGGACAACACTCACTTGTCCCCTGCTTGTAGTCAAAGGAATTCCTCCTAAGGCCTCATGACCAATACTCAGTACCTTAGGTTTAGACTTAAGGAATTGACTTTTTAAATGCTGCTATTACATGGAGTAATGTTACATAATGGGAATTATGAACCTACATATCCTGTTTATGTAGGACTAATATGTTTACTTGTGCATACTTGAGCAGGGTCTGTATCCCCTTGACACATACATATATTTCATATAATTTTAAATTTATAAGTGACCTTAGAGATGATTTTACCCAACTCCTCTCATTTTGGAGTTGAGCAAACTGAGACACAGGAATTAAGTGCCTTTCTCCAGGTCTCTCACTTGTAGCTGGCAGAGCCCAGAGGCCTTCCAGCATAGCTCTTTGCCCACCATCCTGCTAATTCTCCCTCAGGGACTTCTAAATGCATATCTGCACATCCTAATCCCTGTCTACTAAGGAACCAGGCGTTTGATAGCATCAGCATTCGGGAAAGTTATTCTGAAGAATTAACTCTGAAACGAGCCACTCACCCAGCTCTGGGCACCGGACTTGTGTTGAGCTCACCCCTGAAGGTGGACAGCAATGCCCTTAACAGACTAAATTTACAAGGAAATACATCAATCATCTCAGACTTTCTGCAAATCCAAGGGTGGGAGAAGGGACATTGTTTTATCCATTTTCTCGAGGGCCCCCAGACCTGCCTGAAGGATCTACACTAAGAATAAAACATTCAAGCTAACCACACCCAAAGTGGTATTGAACCCAGCGTCTGCTGAGTGAGAGGCTGCAAATACCTGTCACAGCTCCCTCACCGGCAGTATTTACTCCCTCACTTTCCACTCATCCCAGGACAAGAATCATGCACCCTGCTCACTAAACAACATGTGTCGTCAGTGTGTCCTGTTCCAGCTTGCGTGCACTTACTGAGAAGGTGGGATTCACGTATGGTTGTATGCTTTAAAGAGATGTTGAGGATGACAGTGAGTGAAATCTTTTCTCCACTGTATAAGCCCAAAGGTAAAACCATACAATTTTTAAATGATGTTCAGGAAAATTGAAATGCAAGAATAGTGTACTCTTAAGATTCCTTAGAATGAAACATCAGCCATGCTGTGACTCTGTGAAAACTCTCTTTTCAAACTGTCTCTTGATTCAGAGCGCTAAAAATACTGGGTCTTTTTGTCGTTGTTGTTGGCATAAACATTTGACTTAACTTATATGGTCTTTCTCTTTTCCTTTTAAAAAATTTTTAGATCTTTTGATGAGACAGAATTTGAAGAGCCAAGGTAAGAACTAATAGTAGCCTATCAGGAATTATAAAAATCAAAAATAGGACATTGGTTTTATTAAATGTTTAATTACCATGGTATAAGTGTGTCATGATTTTCTTGGAAACCTTTGTTAGGAAATTGATTTGAAGATTATAAAGATTTGATAGGAAGTTACAGAAGAACCAGTTACATCTAGGAGTGAAGGAATAGGAGCCCTACATTGTTTCATACAAGTAATAAGGATACTATTTTATCAATAATAGTACCACCAGATTTTAAAAAAAACACTTTTCAGCAATGATTTATTATACAGATTGTATATCTGCTTCAACTTCTACCAAGAAATGTTGGGAAGATGAGCAAAGTGCTGGCGTGTTCCCTCTAACTCTGCTTGCTATTATTCACCCACACCGTTAGATGCATAAACCTTGAGACGTCCCTGCACAGCAGTTTGATCCCCTCAAAGCTAGTTTGTAGTGTTTTCTGTTTACCGTCGTCCCTTGATGCTGACATGCCTGTTCTTGACCTTTCCAGCAAACTGTCCCACCAGCCGGTGCTGCTGTTCCTCAGGGATCCATACGTCTTGCCTGCAGCCAGCGGTAATCAAACCTGTCATCTGCTAACAGCTCTTTACTGATCTGACCCTGCACCACATAAACCACGTTTTTAATGCAGGTCTAACAGAGTGACATTGGTCCAGGGCTTAATAATCTGCCAATAAACCAGTGCTCTTGGTGTAAGAGACATTCAGAATTTTAATTGGGGCAGGCCTTTCAGGAGGAAATATAATTTTTCTTTCTCTCTCACCAGGCTATTTTGAATTAAGAGTAATAAGAGAGAAAGGTATTGATTGCCTTTAATTTTGGGGGTGGTGTTATTTTGGCCTCTGCTTATTTTTATCCAGATGCTGGGGTTTGAATCCAAGGCTCTGGTTCTTTTTTAAAATGTTTCTTCCCAGAAGCTGTGTGTATACATTGCTTGTATATCTCTGTTTCCATTTAGATTACAGCATCTTTGAGTGTGGAATATGTATTTTTTAAAGTTTTATATTTAAATATAATGAATAATTGAAGTATGAAGGCAATCTGTATTTTCGCTTAGTTCTCTCTTTGTCCCAAGAAGTTTAAATTATTCAGAGTTCTTCTCAAAATGTTGGTATGCAGCTCTTCATGAGCACATTCTCAGACATTATCTCATTTAATTTCCTTAACAGTCTTATAAAATAGGCAGAGCAGGTATCATCATTGGCTGATGAGAGAATCGGGGCTCGAGGAGGCCCCTGCCTTGCTCGGTCTTGTATGGCCGAGAGGTGGACCCCTTCTTGCCCAATTTCTCCTTTTGCGCTCTTTGCATATAATGAGTTTTCTGAGAGTGACTAAATAGCATAGCAACTAAATAGCAATAGATAAATTACCCATAGAAACCATTTCTACATTCTGACAATAAAATGTTATCCTCAGCAAGAGAGAGGGGACGGTTTTTTGTAGCAGG